AATAATTACAAGATCTATCGAACACAAAACGCTGAAAACGAATACATTACAAAGCCTATGGGAAAACAACGATCTGAACACAAAGGAAAACTATGTACTAAATGCAAAGACTGCTAAGTACAAATAAAGAGAATAGAGTACTAGTCAATTGTATAGCATTAACACGCCCGGCCCTCAAGTGTGGGGCGCGAGCCAAACACTTATACCTAATTAATCAATATCGATAAGTTTATAGCTTAATAAATGTTCATTTGATGAAGTACTTCATGTCTCCATGAGATGACATAGTTTCGTTATTGGTCTTTCCAGCGTGGCGCCTCTTGACTTGACTTTTGCGCTTCGAACGTAACCTTTCCTATCTTTGTGAACTTCCACGATCCGTCCTAGAGGCCATTGGTTTCTCGGGGTCTGACGATCATAGATAAGCACCAGGTCTCCTATTTCGTAATTCCTGCTTTGAGTCGTCCATTTCTGTCTCTCTTGCAAGAGGGGCAGATATTCCTTGGACCATCGTTTCCAGAATATATTGGTCAGATGTTGCGCCTGCTTCCATCGTCTCCTGGAATAGGTATCTTCCTTTCGGAATACTCCTGGTGGAAGCGATGTCTCTTCTTTAAGCAAAAGTAGTCGGTTTGGGGTCAACGCTTGTAAGTCATTCGAGTCATCCGAGACTGCTGTTAAGGGTCGACCGTTGATAATCGATTCTACCTCGCACATGTATGTCTGTAGTCCTTCGTCATCTAGAACTTGCTCTTTGAGTACGGCGTTTAAGACTTTGCGTATCGTTCGGATGCACCTTTCCCACGCACCTCCATAATGTGACGCGTATGGTGGATTAAACATCCACTTGATGTTGTTCTGAAGAAGGTGATTGTGAATGGCGTCTTGATTCCATTCATTCAGGGCTTCACGTAGCTCTCTCTCTCCGCCAGTGAGATTGGTACCATTATCGGAACGTATTTCTTTGACCTGTCCTCTTCTTGCTACGAATCGTCTGAGCGCCAAAATAAACGAATCCGTATCTAAACTGTGCGCTATTTCGATGTGTACGGCTCTAATGCACAAACACGTGAAGACGACCCCGTAGCGTTTGACCAAGCTTCTACAACGGCGAACGTAGAAGGGCCCGAAGTAATCAAGGCCAACGGCTGTGAATGGCGATCTGGACTGGAGAGTGCGGTCGACTGGCAGGTCTGCCATTTTCTGATGACCTGGGCGCGATTGGCGTCGTCTACAGCTGATACAATTGTTCAGAACGCGGCGAACGGCTGAATTGGCTCTCACTATCCAATATCTTTCACGCAGGAGGGAAAGGACGTGATATCTGCCGGAGTGACCGGCGAGGTGATGATAGTGCTCGATTAGCAGCGTCGTCACGTGATGATTCTTGGGTAGTATTATCTGGTGTTTGGCATCTTCTGGTATGTTAGACATACTAAGACGTCCACCGACTCGAAGTAAGCCACCGATGAGGATCGGGTCTAGCTTTATGATCGTGCTTGATCTCTTAACATGTGGCTCTGATTTCTTCTCGGTAGTACCTGTAAGTTTACTCTGTGCGGTCGTTAGAGCGCATATTTCTTCTGGATAGGCTTGATTTTGGACCTTGCGCAAAATGATATCTTCTGCCTTTTCCATTTCTTCCACGGTTACTCTTTCTACTATAGAGGTAAATTCGAGACTATGGCCTTGTTTCTTCTTTACTAAGGCGTCCTTTACTTTGGTGAAGTATCTTAGCACTAGGGCCATCGTTTTTTTAAGTCGATACCAAGAAGAGAACTTAAGAAAAGCTTTTTCGAGCGGATCTTGAGATGAGGTAATGGTCATAGCAGTATTGATTTCTTTCCTGACTTCTGGGTGGTCTTCTGATAATTTTGGTTTTGCTTGTGGCAGTACTGGCCAATTCTTGTCATCGTCCCATAGAAATTCTGGTCCGTTTAGCCATGTGCTATTCGAGACGAAGTCGTCGGTGGTCAAGCCTCTCGATCCTTCGTCTGCTGGGTTGGATTTAGTGTTTACATATCTCCACTCTGCAGGCTGAGATCGC